GTCTGATTCTTTTAATTAAAAATATATTCTCTTGGGAGGGAAGGAATGGTAGGGGAAAAACAAAAGAGGAGGCAACAATGCTTGATAAGAAATGCACTTATTATCTTGCTCATGTAACTGTAACCTCTCCTCTGTACAGTATTTTCACAATAAAAAACTTATTTAAAAATATGAATCCTGTACTTGTATTATTTTATTTATTTATTTATTTTATTTATTCCTTGTGAAAATACTGTACAGAGGGGTTACAATTACAGAGGCAAGATGAGTGAGTACATTTCTTATCAAGCATTGTAGCCTCCTCCTTTGTTTCCCCTTCCCATCCCTTCCCATCCTCCCCCCCAACCCCCCCACACCAAAGTTGTAAAGTTCATTTTTGACATAACAACTTGTACATCTCATTGTTGCAATGGGTCCACCTGTATCCCTATTTAAACGATTTGTTTTTCCCCTTCCCCTCCACAAATTATACCAACATCAAATACAGTGAAAGCAGGGGTTATACCGTGGGGGAGGGACATACAAAGCAACAAAGAAATAATCTTATAAATGTGTTAGAAACAATCACATGAAAGAAAAAAAAACATTTGAATACATATCTTAGGGTTCATTTCCCTAACATCAACTTATCTGACCTTTTCTGCTTGACTCAGACATATACTAAATATTGCAAATAAGGGAAACCATGGGACCTATGTTTCTTTGGGCCTGGCTTACTTCACTTAATATAATTTTTTCCAAGCTTTCCATTTCCTAACAAATGGGTAATGTCATTCTTTCTGATGGAGGCATAGAATTCTATTGTGTATATATACCACATTTTCTTGATCCATTCATCTACTGAGGGTCATCTGGGTTGGTTCCATATCTTAGCTATGGTAAATAATGCTGCAATAAACACAGTCGTGCTGGTAGCTTTAGTGTAGTCTTGTTTGTGAGCATTTGGGTAAATGCCCAAAAGTGGGATTGCTGGGTCATAGGGGAGCTCTATGTGGAGTCTTTTGAGGAACCTCCATACTGCTTTCCAAAGTGGTTGAACAAGTTTACACTCCCACCAACAATGCAGTAAGGTTCCCTTCTGTCCACATCCTCTCCAGCATCATTGCTATTAGAGTTCTTGATTATAGCCATTCTAACTGGGGTGAGGTGGTATCTCAATGTTGTTTTGATTTGCATTTCTTTCTTTCTTTCTTTTTTGTTGGTCATGGTACTTGAACTCTGTGCCTGAGTGCTGTCCCTCAGCTCTTCAGCTCAAGGCTAGTGCTCTACCACTTGAGCTACAGCCCCACTTCCTGCATTTCTTTTATGGCTAAGGAGGTTGAGCATTTCTTCATGTGTCTATTGGCCATCCTTCTTTCCTCTTCAGAGAAGTTTCTCTTTAAGTCTTTAGCCCACTTATTTATTATGCAGTTGTTTCTTTGAGGATTTGTTGTTGGGGGATTTAATTTTTTTTGTTCCAGGTATATTTTAGATATGAGACCCTTGTCTGTTATATGGCTAGTGAAGGTCTTCTCCCAATCTGTGGGCTTTCTATTGATCTTGCTAGCTATGTCCTTTGCCATGCAGGAGCTCTGCAATTTCCATGCAATCCCATTTGTCCAACCTTTCTTTGATTTGTTGTGTTTCTGGGTCTTTATTAAGAAAATTTTGGCCTGTGCCAAGGAGACCTAGGGTTTCTCCTATTCCATCCTGTAATGTTTGCAGAGTGTCTGCTTTGACTCAGAGGTCTTTGATCCATTTGGCGTTGATTCTGGTGCAGGGTGATATATAAGGATCTAGCTTTAGTTTTCTACAAGTAGTTAACCAATTTTGTCAGCACCATTTACTGAAGAGGCTGTCTTTCTTCCATTCTATTTTTTTAGCTCCCTTATCGAAGATTAGATGGCTATAGGTCTGTAGATTCATTTCTGGGTTTTCAATTCTATTCCATTGGTCCTGAGGTCTGTTCTTGTGCCAGTACCAAGATGTTTTGATTACTATGGCTTTGTAGTAGAGTTTGAAATTTGGTATTGATATTCCTCCAGCACTGTTCTTTCTGTTGAGGATCGTTTTTGCTATTTGTGGTCTTTTATTGTTCCATATGAATTTTTGGATGGCCTCCTCTATTTCCTTGAAGAACAAGGTTGGAATATTGATGGGTATCGCATTGAATTTGTAGATAGCCTTGGGAAGTATTGCCATTTTCACGATGTTGATCTTTCCAATCCGGGGGCATGGGAGTTTTTGCCACTTTCTAAGTTCTGTTTTGATTTCCTTTTTCTTTTTTTTTTTTTGGGTCCGGTTGTGGGGCCTGAACTCTGGGCCTGGGCGCTGTCCCTCAGCTCTTCTGCTCAAGGCTAGTGCTCAACTCTTGAGCCACAGCGCCACTTCCAGCTTTTTTTTTTCCTGCTTATGTGGTGCTGAGGAATCAAAACCAGGGCCTCATGCATGCGAGGCAAGCGCTCTACCATTGAGCCACCTTCCCAGCCCTTGATTTCCTTTTTTCAAGTTTTTAAAGTTTTCATCATATAGGTCTTTCACTTCTTTGGTTAAGTTAATTCCTAGGTATTTTATTTTTTGTGGGGTTATTACGAATGGAGTTGCTTTCCTAATTTCAGCCACACTTTTCTCATTGTTGGCATACAGAAAGCCACTGATTTTTGAGGGCTAATTTTATACCCTGCTACTTTGCCAAAGTTTTGAATCAGTTTGAGTAATTTGGGAGTGGAGTCTGTGGGATTCTTTAAATACAAGATCATGACGGGTTGGGAAGGTGGCTCAGTGGTAGAGCACTTGCCTTGCATGCACGAGGCCCTGGGTTCGATTCCTCAGCACCACATAAGCAAAAAGAAAAAAGCCGGAAGTGGCGCTGTGGCTCAAGTGGTATAGCGCTAGCCTTGAGCTCAAGAGCTGAGGGACAGCGCCCAGGCCGATTCAGGCCCCACGACCAGACCCCCCCCCAAAAAAAGATTATGTCATCTGCAAAGAGGGAGAGTTTTACTTCTTCTTTCCCTATTTGGATCCCTTTTATGTTTGTATCTTGTCTTATTGCTGTAGCTAGGCATTTTAATACTAGATTAAAGAGAAGTGGAGAGAGTGGACATCCTTGTCTCGTTCCTGAGTTAAGAGGAAAAGGCTTTAGTTTTTCACCATTAAGAATAATGCTGGCTGTAGGTTTGTCATATACAGCCTTTATTGTATTGAGGAATGTTCCATGGATTCCTAATTTTTCCAAAACCTTCATCATAAAGGGGTGTTGGATCTTGTCAAATGCTTTTTCTGATCTATTGAGATAACCATGTGGTTCTTATCCTTGCTCCTGTTGATGGGATGTACTTGCATCTTTTTATCCAGAGGATCAAACCTAAAGTTATTTGCATGTTCTCCCAGCACTGAGAGCTATCCATGACTATCCTGACTTCATGCCCAAGATTCCGTGAGTCTCCTCCCTCACCATCTTCTCCACCCATTCATACTCTTCTCAGCCATAGTTGAGCACTCATTGTGCTCTCCCTTATCCTTGTGTACTTGTACTTGGTGTTTCCTATGTGTGGAATGTCCTAACCACCTCGCAAATTCCTTAGCATCTCTCAAGAGTGAACTCAAGCATTACATTGTCTCTGAAAGCTTTCCTCACTTGTTCCATTCTATCTATAGACTTCTCCATACAACCTAAAAAATCATTTATTGTCTTCTTGGAGTTTCTCCTTTGAAGGAAAGGTCCTTGTTTTTATCTTTAACCCATATCTATGCCTGGTGAACATCAAGAACTTGAACGAATAAGTTGTTCTCATTCTTCAGTCTCAGTATAGCATTCATCTCCCTCTCTCCTGTGAGCCATTAACTTTAGTCCTTTGTCCACTTTGCCTTGAAGCTCAGAGCCCAGTTGTCTGGATTCCTTCAAGGCTCATGACAATGAATACTTACTAAGTATGTAACTACAGAAAAACATACCATCACCTTTTTCATATTACTTATGCAATGTATAATAAATCTTGTTTAATTCTAAATAACTTCATATAGATTTTTAAAAACCAAAATTTTGCTTCCTACATTCTATAGATTTTGAAATTAGACATTTTGCGAATAATGATATAGATCTGTCCTCTAGGAAATGAAAAAAAACTTTCTTTAATCTGCTGACAATTTAGGCCTTTTGAAAAATGGGGTTTCTCAAGTTTTGGGTTAAGACAATGTATTAGAACTACATTATAGAACTTCTAGACCATAGATATCTAACAAACAATAAGACTTCCCTCAGAAGAAGAGTTATAAACAAGAACCAAAGAGGGAAAGGGTTAATCATTTTCAAACCCTTCATGGAAAGGAAATACCAGAGTGTAGAAGTGTGAAGTGTGTCATATCCCCATCTTCCCTGAAATGAGGCTTTGAACAAAATAATTAAGTCAAATGTGTCATTTAGGGACTACGCAGCCCTTCCCTTATTATTTGTGCAAATTGCCTAGAAATAATATCTCTGCTTAGGAAATAGAGAAATATCTTAGTCATTTCTTTAAAGGAGCCGTAGCAGTTATCCACTGATTTTGAGATGCCAAGTGTTTTGTGAAACTGTGAAAGGTTAGGCTGTGTAGTAGAAAAGGGTGAACTTGGGTGGAGGAGTGGGGGACCAGGAAAGGTACCCTTTGGATGATTCAAAATGCTAGTGTGTTCCTTCCATGACAGCAACATGATTTACAGGGAGAAGCTTCTATTTGTAACTTTTCAGTAGAGGTGAGATGTTCATAGATCTTACATGAGGGGACTCAGGAAGTTGAGTGTCTCTTTAGGTAAAATTACTGTTTCCTGGTCAGGAGGAAAGGAAGGTGAGCTCAACTATATTTCCTTGGAAATGTAACTGAGGATGCCATGGCATGAATCTATAGTTTTATACAGACATCCTGGCACTGATTATTTTTTTTTCTGATCAGCTGATTGGAGTTTCGATAACTTTCTCAACCTGCTTTGCGATAAGTCCAGCCTTGGGCCCAATCTATTTCCTTAGTCCATAAGTAGGTGATTACCTGCAGATTATCCAGAATGACTCGGAGGGAGTGTACCTGCCGTCGAACAGCACCTGAAAACCTTTCGTAGGTGGCAGCATCATATTCACTCATTTGGATTTCCTTTAGCCTGAAACCAGAGGGGGAAAGACACCAGCTTAAATTATGTTCCTACGGTATCTGACCTTTCCCACCTATTTCTACAACTGTGGTTAACTTCCTTGGCCATGCTGATTGACTTTGAGGGGAAAGGGATAAAAGAGCTGTTTGTAGAGATGACTTCAGATTCAAAACAGGGGAATGTTACTGGGTGCCAGTGGCTCATGCTTATAATCTTAGCTATTTGGGAGGCTAACAGCTGAGGATTGAAGTTCCACAGGGAAGTCCATTAGACTCATATCTCCAATTAATCACTAAAAAGCTGGAAGTAGAGCTGTGGCTCAAGTAGAGCTCCAGAATGAGTGAAAAAGCTCAGGGATAGTGCTAGGCTCTAAAGTCAAGCGTAGGCAAAAAATTGTTTTAAAAACGGGAAGAAGGAGAGATGTCTAATAGTGTGCTGGTAAATGATTAACAAACTGCCCTCTGCAACAAAACAAAAACAATAAAAACAGTCCTAATTTGTACTGTGTATTTAACTATTCCTGTCATATAAGATTCCCATCCTGATCAATTTCAAGCTCCCAACAATGAAGCCATAATCCACTCTATAGTACATTCCAGCTATATCCCAGACATGCTGCCTATGTCAGTAGCTAAACACTTCATGTGGCAAATCTCTAAGAAAGTTCCCATAGGTTACCTTTAGAGACTTCGATTATATATTTGGTTGACCAAGAAAGCAAGTAAAGTTAATGTGTCACTATGTGTCCTTATGTTATGATTGGAATATGAAGTGTTCCCCAGAGGCTTACGTGTTGAACTCTAAGTCTCCATCTGGTGGAGCTATTTTGGAGTTGATGGAAACTTTAGGATAAGGGTACCTCTGAAGACGATGCCTCGTCTCAGGTCCTTCCTCTCTCTCTGCATCCTGTCCACCATGAAATATGTTTTACTATGAGATCTAGTTCACCAAACATGTGCCTCTGTTGTACACTTCATGATGTATGCCTCGTGTATGTATGTATGGGATGTGCATGTATATATGATGTATGTATGTATATATGGTATATATCACGATGTTCTGCTGCACTACGACCCCAGGGTCAACAGAACCAAGGACTATGGACCAAAACCTCTGAAATTATGAGCTAAAACAAATCCTTCCTCCCTTACTTTGTTTCTATATGGTATTTTGTAGCAGCAATGAAAAGCCTAATATACCTTTTATGACAGTTTTCTGAAATTACTGATGGTGTTCCTTAAAAAGGATAGATTGTGCTTTAATATATTGTACTTTTGAAATTCTACCCTTCCAGTACACTGTTCCTTTGATCATTTCTCATTTGCCTGTTATAGCCCCACCAGCCTGGGGCAGATCTCTGAACATATCATGTCCCCATACCTTGGTGCCCTTGTGAGGAATTCTCTTCCATTGGTAGCGTCCTTTCCCTACCTCTTTGCCTACTTATTCTCCTTTACCCATTCTGACTCAAACTAGTTATCACCTCCTCTAAGAAACTGGCTCTGATACCAGTCTGTCTTCTGAGTTGTCAACTCACCTCATTCCTCCCTACGTCACAGCATGTACTGCCCAAGTGATCACTGATTGTCTTCTGTCGACTAGTCTCTGTGTTCCTGTAGTAAGGGTTTGGGGGAGGGGGTCACCTTTCTATATATAGTACCTACTTAACAGATGATAAGTGCTCAAGATAAACACAAATGAATGACTACAGTAAAAGTAAGATTTGGGAATATTCAGCTACTTTTTGGGCTTGTAATCTGTAATTTCAGGGGATTGCGGCAGGAGGATTGCAAGTTCAAGGCCAGACCAGGTTACATAGTGAGTTTCAAAACAACATGGGCTGCATAGTGAGACCTTGTCTCAAAAAAAACCCCTGAAAAATGGGGACAGGAGGGAAAACTGGGAGAGAATGAGGGAAGGGGTGACAATGTCAAAAAAGAAATGTACTCATAACCTGATTTGTATAACTGTAATCCTTTTTCACATTACCTTTATAATAACGGTTTTTAAAAAGCTAAAAAAAAAGCCACATTTTAAACTAATCCTAAATAGAATAGTCTTTCACCTAATGATCACTCTTGGATTTTATAGTGTCATAGCCATGGTGTGTTCATTTAATCAGCCATTTCTATGCACACCTACAAATATTAAGTGCTGATACTAAAACAGGGAGTAATTAATCCATCTCTTAAAAGCCTAACTAACCAGGGGCTGGGAAGGTGGCTCAGTAGTAGAGCGCTTGCCTTGCATGCCTGAGGCCCTGGGATCGATTCCTCAGCACCACATAAGCAAAATGAAAAAAGCCAGAAGTGGCCCTGTGGCTCAAGTGGTAGAGCGCTAGCCTTGAGCTGAAGAGCTGAGGGACAGCGCCCAGGCCTAGAGTTCAGGGCCCACGACCGGACCCAAAACAAAACAAAACAAAAAAAGCCTAACCATAAAACAGTCTTCCTTTTATTATTAGCTTATATCAATTATACTGGGGAAGGAATGTCATTGCTATATCCCTAGTACATGTTCATGCATATTCTAATCATTTCACCCCCTTCAGCACACTCCCTATACCCTTCCCTTTAAGAAACAATGTCCCCAACAGGTTTCTTTGTTTTGTTTTTGTAGTTTAATTAGTCTATTTTGAGAGTATTCAATCTTCCTTATCCTCCCAGCATACCCTCTCCTGCTAGTCCCTCCTACCTCCTTCAGAGTCAATTTCTCTTCCCTCCCTTCTCCCTATTGATCACCTGCTTTTGTTGACTTTCTCTGTGCTGCTCTCATATATACTTGAGATGCCACAACAGTCTTCTAAACTGTTCTGTGTGTGAGTGTTTGTGAACAGGCAGGCATGTACATGGGGTAATTAATGTGTGTTGTGTGGTATATGTGGGCCTACATGCATGCGTTATTGGAAGTGTAGGTACTGGATGTCTAGATGAAACTCTTATTTAGAGTATATTTATCACCTTGGATTGGAAGAGAAACATCAAATGCTTAAGGAAAATGGTTTCTATCCTTTCCTATCAGGCCAAGCACTGAGAAGAATCCATTCAGAGTGCTGGAGAACACCATCATAGTAGTCCTAGATTTTCATGGATAATTCCTGCCTGACCACCGATTAAGGTTTCATGGTTGGTGCCAAGGCCATACCCTATGAAGTCTGCTTGCTCTCTAAAGTGGACCAGTCACTTTTCATGTACCTTATAGAGACACTACTCATGGAATGTGGACACTTCATTGTTTAACAGATATGCCTGTTTCCATTGTTACAGTGCTTCTCAAACTTTCTTTTCCACATTTTATACTTAGATTCATTCACACAAATACATATGTGTGTGTGTATGTGTGTCTGTATGTCTGTGTGTATGAACAAATCAAACGATTAATAAAAGAATACATCTACTAGCCTGGAGCTGGTGGCTGAGATCTGAGGATCATAGCTAGAAGCCAAACTGGTCAGGAAAGTATGTGAGACTCTTAGCTCCAATTAAATCACAGAAAAACCCAGAAATAGTGCTGTGGCTCAAGTGGTAGAGTACTAGCCTTGAGCAATAGGAGCTCAGGGACAGCGCACAGGCCAAGTTCAAGGCCCAGGGCCAGCAAAAACAAAACAAAACAAAAAACATCTACTACATGTGATGTGCTTTATGTTTTCTATGCTATTCTTTGGGCTTAACAACATCTTTTGTTCTTTAAATATCCAATAGCTAGCATACCTCCTGGCACACATTGATGCTAAGTAAACACTACTGAACACTCTGAAAACACTACCTAAAGTTAAGTACAGAAGTCCACTGTAACACTTGAGTGGCTACTTCCTGAGGTGACATGTCCAGACAGCCTTCTCAATTTTATTAACTATTCTGAAAAACAACAAAGTCTTCATTCTGAACAATTCCTCTCTATTTAGTTTTGGCAATCTGTGAATCTATCTATAAATCTTTACCACATTCAGTTACATATCTCAAGTTGTCTAGGCTGACAAAAGCTGGGCACAGTGAATGCCACAGAATATGCCACCAACCCACATTATACCTACAAAGGATGTGTGTTCTTTCTGCAACAAAAGAGATGAATACTGACTAGAAAAAATATAACTCTGTTGTAGTTAGTTGGATGCAAGAGAGAATGGAGGATGAAATACCCGCATACATATGCATGCGCAAGTGTGTGCACACACACATGCATGCATACACTATGTATTTGAAGAAAGAAGCCAAGCAGTGGGTAGGTCACCTTGAGCAGAGTGGTCATTGTTTAGAGGCCAGAATTACTCTACTTTCAGGAATACTTCTGGGATGATCATATTGCACCCTAGAACCTATCACATGCTATTTTAATGATGAAGAAACCTGGGAATCATATTCCAGGTTGTGTCAGTATTCACAAACATCACCTAAAAGATGTTCAAAGTGGGCAACAACTTCTAAAAGTTGAAGACTGCAAAAGGGAATGGAGAAAGAAAGTTGAGAATTTAAGTTTCTGGGATAGGCAAGCTTCCCATCACTAATATTCTCAAACTCACACAACAATACATCTTTCTGCTTCTTTTACTCTGATCAAAACTGCAGGGCACAGCTGTCTCACATCCTGGTAATCTATGGATGCACTGCATTTTGTTGGCACAATATATTGTTTAAAGGATGTATTTATTGTGATGTAAGAGTCTGGGAATTTGGGTTCTCATTTTACCTTTTCTTATATGTTAGATATAAATACTGTAATTTTGAGTCAATTATGAAGACAACCAACATAAGTAAAGATCCACTGTGTGAGACTGATTAGTTTTGCAAATAGAAGTAGAAGTATTTTCCACAGCTAGGACACTCTAAGTTTCTTACATGTGTACCACTACCTCAGTGCCTATTTTATTCACTTTTTCTTGGCACAATGTTTGTTACATGTAATGCATGTCTTATGCTTGTTTCCTTCTGCTAGACTACCTGAATCAATCACTTCTTGGTATGTAGGAACCAGTATCTGGCTTAAACCACATATAATGGATGCTAACTAAACACTGCATTGATAATGTAAGGAACCCATTGGTAATATTAAGTTCTTTGAGGTAATAGAGCACATTACATCTGGCTGATGTCTAGAACGGTCTAGTCTCAGCCAGTCTCTTATCTCAAAGTATTAAAGTATGATGCCATTACAGCCAACTCTCTATATCTATGGGGTTTGTACATGCAGATTCAAATAACCTTGAATTGAAATTATTTAAGCTAGTGACTCACTCTTGTAAACCTAGACACTTAGGAGGCTAAGAATCAGAGAATCTCAGTTTGAGGTAGGCCTGGGCAGAAAAGTTTTGTGAGACCCTTTCTCCCTGTTGACCACAGGGGCATGCAACAGTTATTGAGCTGAGACTGAGGGAATGTTTCCATGGAGGGAAGCTAGACGTGGAGGCATGAACTTGCGATCTTCGTGATGACTGGAAGCCTACAATTGGCAGATCATGGTTCATGCATGTGCCTGGGCAAGAAGAGAAGCCCTATTCTAAAAACCAGTGAAGCTGGGTACCAGTGGTTCACATTTATAATTTTAGCAACCTAGGAGTCTGAGACCTAAGGATCATGGTTTGAAGCCAGCCTGAGCAGGAAAGTCCATATGACTTGTACTTCTAATTAACTACTAAAAAGCCACAAGTAGAGCTGTGGATTAAGGGAGCTAACTTTAAGTAAAAACTCTAACAGATAGCCCTTAGGCCCCCAGTTTAAGTCCCAGTACCAGCACACGTGGACACACACACAAAACACACGACAAACAAACAAACAACCAGTGGAAAAACAGGACTGGATGTGATTGTACTAGCTTTGCAAATGAAAGGCCCTCAGTTCAAATTCCAGTACTGCAAAGAAGTAAAAACTCACTAAAAATTGCATTTCTGTTCAACATGTACAGATTTTTTCTTCATAATGATTCCTTAAGCATATTGTCTATTTCTATACCATTTACATTATATTGTATATTGTAAGTAATAGAGATAAGGGTAGGAAAGAAGAAAGAAGGGTGATGTAGAAGTGAGCATTATACAAGTTTGCATATAATGTATGAAAATACCACAATGAAACCCACCAAAACAGAAGGTGAAAGGGGGAAGCAGGGTCCAGACAGAATAACAGAGATGAGGTGAATCTGACCAAAGTACATAGTGTACATGTTGTAATATCACAACGAACCCCGTTGAATAATCAATTACATAATAAAAAATTAAGAAAATAACTCCAAACCCAAAGCAAATACTTTAATCTTTTTTTTTTGCCAGTCCTGGGAACTGAACTCAGGCCTGGGCACTGTCCCTGAGCTTCTTTTGCTCAAGGTTAGCACTCTACTGCTTAAGCTACAGTGCCACTTCCAGCCTTTTCTGTTTATGTGATACTGAGGAATTGAACCTAGGGCTTCCAGCATGCTAGGAAAAAAACTGTATCACTAAGCCATGTTCCCAGCCTACTTTATCCTTAAAAAGAAAATAAAATACATGGGAAGATATGTACAAGATATGTGCAAACACTAATACATTTTTTTAAAGTTATCTTTTAATTGTCTTGTTATTTATTTATTTTTTTATTGTGAAAATACTGTACAGAGGGGTTACAATTACATGGGCAAGATAATGAGTACATTTCTTATCAAACATTGTAGCCTCCTCCTTTGTTTCCTCTTCCCATCCAAACACTAATACATTTTATGTAAGAGATTTGATCTGAACATTTGGGACCCTTGGGTGGAAGTTGGGGTTCTGACACCAATCTCCCATGAATATGAAGGGACAACTTCTAAATGGGGACATTATTACTATACACACATGTATTTGTTCCATACTATGTGGCAGTATTTGCCATGCAGCAGATTATCCCCTCAAGGAATTTGCAATTGGAGCGACAACTACACATATAATAAGAAGAAAAAGACAGGAAAGAGCTACGGAGAAAAAGTAAAGGTGTTCTAAAAGCATGAATGGCAGTACTTGACCTCAGTATACAAGTGCTCAAAATGAATTCTTTGATGATTGTAAAGAATTATTATCTTCAAAGACATGATAAAGCTGGGCACTGGTGGTTCAGGCCTGTAATCCTAGTGACTCAGGAGGCTGAGATCTGAGGATCACAGTTTGAAAGCTGCCCAGGCAGGCAAGTCCATGGGACTCTTACCTCCAGCCTTGAGCAAAAGAACTCGGACAATATCCAGATCCTGAGTTCAAGCCCCAGGATCAGCAAAACACAAAACAAACAAGCAAAATAAAAGAAAATTATGATAATAGGGTTCTGTTTGTGGGTTTTTTTTCAGAGCTGAAGACCAACCTTAAGGCCTTGCACTTGCCAAACAAGTGTTCTTCCACTGAACTAAATTCCAACCCTGAGGTCCTATACTGTAAAGATATACTCTACTCATAATGACGGACTACCTTAGGTAATCTTGTCTTTCTTTTTTCCCTCCTTCCCTCCCTCCCCTCTCTTTTCTTTTCTCTTCTTTCCTTCCTTCCTTTATTCATTTTTTCCTTTCCTCCCTCCTTCCCTCCCTCCCTCCCTCCCTTCCTTCTGCTGTAGCTGGAATTACTGACAATCACAATGCCCAGAGTGACTCATGAAGTTTTTTTGCTTGGGTTGGCCTTGAACTATGATCTTCTCAATCTCTGTCTACTAAGTGTAAGCCACCATACCTGGCTTTTCTGCTTTCATTTTGTGTTAGAAAAGGTCCCATAATAAAAAGCTCAAATTTTTTTTCAGCAGTACTAAATGGAAAGTTGAAAATCCTGTTTCTACATGAAAGTAGAAAGCAACGTTTTTCTCTTGGTGTTTTGCTGTGTCCCTGTCTTTTCTTGGATCTCTGTTTTCATTTTCTCCTTCATATCCTTTCCCACTTCTTGTCTTTCAATCACATTGTGGTATTCACTTTTACTTCAACTGAGCGTCTTCTCTCTGCAGTTTCTAGTAAAAGGGGCACACTCTTTTCACTTATTCCCTTGTCCACATCCTGCTACTACCTCTTTTATATCCACTGAATCCAGCTGTCTTATTACCCTATTACCTCTCTCTTTTGTTGGGCAGATTCTTTTTTTTTTTGTCAGTCCTGGGGCTTAAACTCTGGGCTTGGGCACTGTCCTACACTCTTCAGCTCAAGGCAAGCTCTCTATCACTTGAGCCACAGCCCCACTTCTGGTTTTCTAGAGGTTTATTAGAGATAAGAGTCTCCCAGACTTTCCTGCCTAGGCTGGCTTTGAACTGCGATCCTCAGATCTCAGCGTCCCGAATAGCTAGGATTACAGGTGTGAGCCACCAGCGGCGCCAGGCTGGGCAGTGATTCTTAACAGAACAAGGCTCCTTATCCCTCATGGCAACAGAGAAGGAAGGGGCTGTATACAAGTGTCCAGGTGTCACTGACAGCCTTTCTACCTCCCTGTGGACACTTGTATGCCAGATTGCTCTATTTGCTTATCTGCATTCAGACTAGATAATTACCTTGGAGAACTTGTTCCTGGCAACAATAGCAACTCATTAGTTTGGAGGGGAGAATGACGATGCATATCAAGTAATTAGGTTCTTTCCCCTAATGGACACTTATTATTCATATGAATAATATGAGCGATACTTTAATTCCAACAAGACTTCCAACTACTTCTCTTTATGCACTGATTTCTGAGACAGGGTTTTGCTATGTAGACCCGACCAGCTATGTAGACCAGTCTCAAACTCAAATCCTTCTGCCTCCATCCTGGGATGGCAGGTATACAACACAGTATCTGGTCTTCTTGACTTTTTTTTAAATTGAAAATTTTTTTTAAATTTTTTAAATTCATTCCTAAAATTGTTATCTCTACTTATAACCTCTCTGAGAGGTGAAGAAGGAAGTCCCCCTATTCTTTTGTACCAGAAAAGCACAGTCAGTCACAATGAAGACAAGTCAGCTGACAAAGGTCACCAGGGTAGCTACAGAAGAGTAGGGGGCTACACTTTTGCTTCTAATGACCAGTGGGTTATTTACCTGCTGAGACCTCCAGGCTTTCCTGAGGGTGTGGCTGATGGGACCTGCATCTTTGTCTCTATTGTTTTGTAATGTTTACTTACAGGATGTGAAAGCATAGCACACAATGTAATGGCAGATGTTTCTACATGGGTGGAACTGCATAACTCACACACACTTTAGCATGCTTTCATTTTCTAAGTGCACCCTGCTCCTTTCATTGAGCACAAAAATATAAAATCTGTACTTCAAACCACCAACGCCCTCAGTCTAAAGGAAGCTATGGCTGATTCTTTGGTAGTTTTCACTTTTAGCTGAAGAATAACTGTGTATTTCTGGTGAAGACATCATGTGGATTCCTCTTACTTTTTATATGGGTCCAAAATAGGCCAGAACCTTCCACCATCTGAAAGCCAAAGCCACCTGGATTTCAAGACCTCCACTCACTGACATAGCCTTCCCAAACAATCTCCCTGCCCATCTCTTTCATCAGCACCATTCATTCTGCCCTGGGACCTCTGTGGATTGTGCTTTCCCTTCCTGGGAAGTTCTACTGCTTTCCTTCTAATCCTGGCTGTGAGCAAGCCTACTTTTTATTAGCCTACTAAGCTTGTGCATGTCTAAAATGTCAGAGGGCATAGCCTCTGCACCTTAGGACTTAGTGTGTGTATGTGTGCATACATTTGTGTGTGTGCATGTGTGTTTGTGTATTAGTCCCCAGTGCTGTTCTAGATGCAGGAAGAACACTTACCTCTGTTGAAATGCTCTCTGGCCCATTTCTCTTGCAGCTCTCTTGACCTCCTCAGGAACTGCATCCTTCTCAGCCTGAGAGACCTGATACACTGTGTGGCCTGCATCCAGTCGGTAAGGACCTCCTTTCCCCCCCAGTCCTGCAGTGTCTCTTCCTCCTAGAAGGAAAACATGGGAGTCTAGACGGTAAGTCTGAACTTGGACTATGAAACAAAATTGGACCATGGCTTTAAGATAGTCTTGAGAGGTATATTAATTGTATTTAAGTAATAAATGTTATCTTACTGTAACCAAAGTTGTCCCTTTGTCTAGGTAGATTTTCCTTTCTTTTCAACCATCTAAATCATATCTATGTTTCAAGGTTCAGACTAAATGTTATAACATCTTATCTGATGTCTCTACCTCACTGGGATCAATACTTTTGTGCTCAATTTGTTACTCTTCTTATTTTCTTTTCCCACCTATTATATGACGGGAGGTGCCCTATTTTATTTATGTTCATACTACTGCTCCTATCTGAGTGTCTTAATATTGTTGACACTCTCTATTTGTTCATTATTTTTCTCTAAGTTACTGATGTAAACAGAAGATGACATTTTCTTTTGTTTTGTAAAATAGTAAAAATGGTGCACAGAGAGGTTAAGTCCCCAATTTGTGATCTCATTAGCACTAGCTTAACTAGTCTATATTTGAAGCTACTTATTGTACGAATGTTGACTTTAAACTTTGACTAATATATAATAATGAATAAGCTACTTCTCTTATCCCTCTTTTCCTGCCCTGGAAAGCATAAATAACAGTAATATGGAGAAATGATGAGTATTAGAAATAATATGTGCAAAGTATCTGGATTGTAAGCATCATGAGAGCAGAGATGCTTCTATCATGACTGTAAGCACTGAGTGACATATTGTTCATATTATCTCCCCAGTGCCTGGTACTCCTCAACAGTACTCATGAATGAATGAATAAATGTTCCTCAGCATCCACTTCAGTCCTTCTCATTAAACTCTACAGTTTCAGACTAGTCTTTCAATATGAACCCAAATTTACATGCTTAGAAGTACTATTACATGAACTGTTTGTGTTAAAATAGAAAGTTAAATACTTTTATGGTACAACTACTTACTAAAAAAATAATTTAAAAAGTTGCCTTTTGGCCAGATTGGTAATATTTTACAAAGTATAGGAGAAAATGGCTACCTAGAAAGGGTTTGTCTTGTTAAAATATGCTCGGCCTCTAAAGGGCTTTTGATGCCAATAATCTAAAGTAGGCGGAGATATCAAGCTAACATGGGTGGGGATAAGCTAAAGCAGGCAGAGACAACTTGTAGGACACGCTATCTGGGTCCTGACTCTTTTCCTCCTGGAGGTATTACTTCAGTCTGGGCAGAACATGAACCTGACTTAATGCTTCCTAGGCATTTGATGTCATTGTTTTGGTAAAGGACTGAAGGATCCACAACCATTAGAGGCTGACTGAATGATGGCCAAAATGAGTCATATGGCTCCATCGGGAAGTCATCCTGGGGTAGAGAGCACATGAAGAGAGTTCTTCATGGTAGTACTTTCCAGTGCTTTTACTTCATACTATGTACATGAAAATGCTTGCTGTGGGTTCTGAGGCATAACTTCAAAGTTAAGCTTGGACATCCAAACCCGTTTATAAGGTAAGGGTTAAGTGGGCTAGGAAGGGGCCCTAATAATGAAAAAGGAACCAAATGACTTGTTGGACTTAGAATTCTAAGTGAGGAAAAATTTACAGAGAGAAAAGACAAGTTGAAGGCAAAGTGCCTCGGACAACCAGAAAATAGAAGGCTAGGAGAAGCAGACTCAGGGCCTTTGGTCTGGACAGATACAGGAGCTAGTAGATTCACAATGAATAAAAAGAACTTTCACTGTGAAGTAGTGCACTGAAGGGAAGTTTACATCTGGTTAGCTCATTCCACAATGCATTCCACATGGATTAAATCTAACTTCTAGATCAAAGGATATTTCTAAAAATAGCTGTTCTTTAAAGCTGATGCTTGATGAATAAACAGAGTAGGCAAGAAGTCCTCAGGCCTACTTGACAGCACATTGTCTCAGCACAGAAACCCATTTCCTGTGGGGTGTCAAGGTCAAAGGTGCAGACCATATTAAGGGAAGGTGAAGTATGGAGCCCATGCCAGCACTCCTAACAGCTGAGATAAGCCCAGACAGTGTGCACAGTCTGGCCCTATTCCTGGGGCCCAGAAGATGTGTCTGCTCCAGCTGCAGGGAGGAAAAAGGAAGAAGACAGCAATGGGAACAATGGTCTGGTCAAGCAGCCAAGAGGAAGGAATGGACCACAGCTAGTCTTGCAAACTGCAACCAACCCTATTATCTCAAAGTCTTGTATCCTGACCACACTTCTCAGAGGTGGATGACAAGGATCATTTCTTTTCAAAGTCAGTTGCTCGAAAAAGAACTTGCTGTAGATTTCTGGTACAATCTCAAGGGCATGGAATTTAGAAGGCAATAACAGTTCAATGAATACATTCCTCAGGTTAGCCATTATGCTCAGTGCTTACAATCATAATCTCATTTAATTCCCACCATGACCTTGTAAGGAAGATTCTATTCTATAATTCCCCTTTCACTGGTGAAGCTTCTGTGAAAAGGTGACAAAGGTCTTGGGTCATTGGGCAGCAGGCTCTGTGGAACTTCAAATGCAAGGTTCTGTGTATGTCTTGATGTCAACTGGGGCTGAGGGCAGAACACATCTGAGAAATAGAGGAGGCTGAGGAAGGCTGTTGGCCTCTGAAACTTCTCAGGGGTGGTGTGCTGCCTCAGGAAGTCTTGGGAAGTGCCACAGAGGAGAACGCAAAGCTACCAACCTGTTCCACCAGCCCAAGTGTTGCCACCCACGTGGGGCTTGTTATCTGGGTCCTCCTTCCCGTGTTTGGGGGAGCTCACATCTTCACCACTATCTCTGTTGATTGTTATCTAAAAATGAAGAATTGAAACATGATCACTACCTGGGGCTGAAACAAGGTTTTTAGACCCTAGACCCAAAGTCAGAGAATTCCAAGTTAGATATGGTAACTCACCTCTATATACCAAATAAAGAGACATGGTGAAGGGCAGAGAAAAGAGATTTAGTACATGGTAGCCATGGGAAGACAGCACTTCTTCAGAGGTATAATAAGCATTTGCTTTAGGTTAGTAGGGAAATTGGGGGCAAGGGTGAGAAAGGTATTGAGTTGTAGAGATGGTCTGGTTGACCACTGGCTCAGTCTTTGTCCCAGGAGGAATTCTGTAAAAGTTGTTACCATCTTATTACTGGAATGGGAACCAGGTGGTCTTCTGTTTGGGGCTGTTGGCTTTATTTGAATATTTTCTTTCCTTCTGCAAACAAGGTGAATGCAGCATAGAATAGTTCAGATGAAAGGGCATAGATACAAAGTTGAGGGACTTCTATTTAATTCACAGCATACATCAAGAGCAGCTTTAAAGTTGCCTTTTACATAAACAACCAGAAACTGCTTGACAGAATCTTTCCCTTAAGTTCTGAAGTTATCTTATAACCTCAGGCTATAGAACATGACAGATGTTTGTGTTTGGCAAAAACATCTTCAGATTTAGTTGGAAGGATATGAATTAAAAATTTAAGAAATTCTTTAAAAGAAAGAAAAGGTTGACTGGAGGTGTGGCTGAAGAGAGATAGAGGGCTTACATAGCTATTGTGAAGCTGAGTTTAGTGTCCAATAATCCAATAACACACACACACACACACACACACACACACACAGGAGTGAGCAATGGTAATCAGAACAGTTCTTCTATCACTGCTTATTCCATTTTTGGAACTTCCAAATATGCCCTTGTATTGACATGCCATGATTGATTCAGTACATTTAAGTCTTTACATAAAGTAATCAAGTGAAGTTTTAGTCAAAACCACATGCAATTAATAATAATGGGACTAGTTTGATTATAGGGGGTTTCACTCTTCCACAGCCAATGCTAAAAAAAAGTTCCAGTATTAGTTTAAGCAGGAACAGTTTAATTGAAGAGAACTATTTTACATATTATTCCTCACTTTGGTGTGTGTGTGTTGGTATGGTGTTTAAAAATGAAAAACTGAAAGAGATATGAGAAGCAAGTTTTTATGTGTTTAGTAACTTTGCTTTTTTGGGGGGGAGTCTGAACTCTGGGTCGGGCGCTGTCCCTCAGCTCTTCAGCTCAAGACTAGCGCTCTACCACTTGAGCCACAGTGCCACTTCCGGCTTTTTTCTTTTTGCTTATGTGGTAATGAGGAATCGAATCCAGGGCCTCAGGCATGCAAGGCAAGTGCTCTACCACTGAGCCATCTTCCCAGCCGCCCCCTGCTTTTTTTTTAAACCAAATATCCATTATCTCCAGTAGACATTTTACATAACCTAGCCAGTCTGCAGTACAGTGAGAGTACAGCATTGTGAGAATAAGTACTAAAAAGATGGCAAAGAAAAAGAAAAGTCTTCTCCAGTAACCCTCTCCAGCTCCCTCCAAAAGCATGCTTTTGAAGTTGCAAAGATACCTATAATGGCCATTAGGGAGGTAGAAAAGTGGCTGTAAATTTCCTGGCAGAAAGGAGGTGGTGTGTGTTTTGCCACCATATGCTATGCCAGACCATCTGCTGGGAAATGGTGTGCTCACATTGCCCACAGACAGCCCCACACCAGCCCCAAATTAGAGCTGAGAGATGCTTAGTCAAAAACTAACTCTTGACAAAAATGGTCATCAGCCAAACCCTGATTTATTCCACACAAACATATAAAGTTAGATTCCAGGTATATTTAATTAAAAGAGATGCATCTGGGGATAAGCATAATTTTGTGTTCTATGATTGAATGACAGTGCACTCACCCACAGGATACATTTCTGTAGGTGGATGGAAGGAGTGGATCTGCACAGTGGTTTCAAAGCCAGTTTAGGAGGCTTTGATTCATAAAAGGCAGGAAGGCTTGGGCAGACCAACTGAGGGCAGAAACTGGACCAGACACCAAAACAGGCCTGTCACCTGAGAAGCTTGTTTCCTGGAGACAGATGTGTGCAAAAGAGTCACTGACCATTCAAAATTAGGTAAGCTGCTGTCGACTTTGATACATGCATTGAGAAGTAACTGGGATACATTTTCCTTGAGAAAAATGGTCTTGTATATAAAAAAAAAAAGCTTAAGAAAGTCATCCTAATGACTGAAATTGACCCTACTGAATTCACACAAGGCGATTAAAACTTTTCCTACACCAGAAAACAGCCCCTTATAACTCATGATGCAATGTGACATGCATACTAAACCTTTGACTTATTTCTTACAGCAGACATATTCCACTTCCTTTTAGGTCAGTGTGCTGCAATCCTAAGAATCATTACCTCTCACATATGAATTTAAACAGAGAAAACATGGATCTGGTAAATTACAACTCATAAAAATGTTCCAGAGTTAAGCCAGCAGAGTAAAAGGGACATGAGTCACTAAAGTCCTATAATTCTAGGCAAGGCACATATATTTTAGGTTCCTCCTTGAGCTTACGATTTTCAGGGAAAAAAAATCAGTGAAATGATATAAATAGAATATAATTCTGAGAGAAATGTTAGCTCTTGGAGGTATGACTCGACTACACAGTTGATTGCCATTTTCCAGATGGAGACTAGGTGTGGCTTGGTAGATATTTCCTAGTGGTCCACATAACATCTATTCCCTTTGTTCCTTTGTAATAGAAGCTAGGTGAATCATGGTTGGATGGAATTAGGTGCAGCATTCCCATTCCCCTTTGTGACTGGTCTAGAGGAAACCATTTAACCTGAAATGTAGAGAAAATCTGTGTCAGGAGGCTTTTCTGGGATGCTTTTCCTCTTATTGGAAAGAAAGATTCTCACTATTCTGAATGCACAATCCTTACCACCACCTCCCCCCCCCCCCACAGAGTCCTGCAGAACAGTTGAGTAGTGACATGATACATAGAGCTTTAGCATCTGCCTAGTGACCACATGGCAACAAGAAGGTGGCAGAGTGGAAGAGTCTATGCTTTTAATGGCATTGCTGAGCTGCTGAACCAGTCTTGCAGTTACTTAGCTCTGATCTTCGACACGAGTGAATGTCTAGGGTGACATTGATGACATAACAATGCTATGGTCACTGTTAGGATTTAGGTTACTTGGAGCCAAGTACATGTAAAGTAATTGCCTTATTTCTTAAGGAGCAGGGAAGAAGAAAGTATATTTTTGAGATTGTCCCACTTTTAAATATGAACATATACTTTGTGTTCTGACATTAAAAGTCTCCACAATAACAGCAGCACAGTAATCCTATCTATTATTATTTTCTTGATTGTATGCTATTTTCTTGATTGTTTAGCAGAGAACAGGATCTATCCATTCATTTCTGTGCTTGTTTGTACTACGTCTACTGCTTACTAGAATACAGAGATGCATAAATGTTTGCTTCTAGCAAGATACTACAAAAGGGAGAAAAGTCACAGAACAGTGTGACAAGGATGTAATAAGGAAATGACCACATCTGTCTAAATATATTCTTGTCTGAGGTTATCCTTACCCACAGGTCAGAGAGATCTTTCATAGATATTGGTACAATAATGGTCCCATTAACCTGTCCTCTGGAATTATCATCTGGTTTCGCTAAATAAAAAACTGACCACCCTAGTTCTCATAAATAGCCTGTACCTTTTACAAAGATAATGCATGATGAAAATGTCTGTTGCACATTCTATCTCTGGCAAAGCCATCAAGTGTGAGGTTTATCTTCCATTTTTGCTTGGCTTGGTGGAAATATTTGCTTTTCAGTGCTCAATGATCTTCGGCCCCCTTCAATTCTCCCCAGCCCTAAAAAGCAGACTCTGGCTTTTGATCACTACTATTAATTGCATTGTAGCTGATACATACCTCACACTAAGTAGCTAACCTTAGAGGGCATTCATAGTTTAAGTACTTTTAATACCATGGAGAATGAAATCTGTACTTCTTTGTTAGTAGGACATGGGACAGGATGGGGTGGGAGCCTGTGAGGTCTATTTTCTGCCTCGAAAACAAACATCTAATAGGATGACTGGGAAACTGCAGGTGAGAAACAGAGGCTGGTTCTTGGTCTGTTGTGTAGAAGCCTTGTCTTCTGGTGGAAGTGTTCTATTGCTTTCTCATGGGCTTCTTCAGGTCATCCAGCAGCCCATTCCTCTTCCTGATTCTGGGGGATGGACCCCTTTGTCCACTTCCCACAGTCAATTCAACTTGGTGGAAGCTTGAATACTCCTAGAGGCTTTTGCACATTGTCATTTCTAGCATAAGTGGTACATTTGGTAAATATTTTAAACTACTAGAAATTTTATTAGCTGGGCATCTGTGATTTACACCTATAATCCTAGCTACTCAGGATGCTGAGATCTGAGAATCATGGTATGAAGCCATCTTGGGGAGGAAAGTCTATGAGATTCTTCTCTCTGATAAACTACTTAACAAAGGCAGAAGTAGAACTTCTGAGCAAAAGAAGCTCAGGCATAGCACCTAGATCCTGAGTTCTAACACACACACACACACACATACACACACACACACACACACACACATTATATATATATATAATATTATATATATATATATATATAAAACTATAACTACAAACACTTCCTTTCCTCTGTGTGGAGGTTCTGGAATTCATTCCTACTTTCATCTTAGATTATTTCTCTTTCTGAGTTTAGAGTCTCTGACAAAGGACAGTCTCACTGGGTGACCCTCCTCACTAGGAACTGTTCTGTCAACAAAATCACAAAATTTTACAGCACTCACAAGGACAAGCTAACAATGTATTCATATTGTCCCTTATCTTTTATTGTATGACAGGAGGAGTTGACACAGTGGCTTAGGTGTAAGCTAGGTGTATTTGATCTTTCACATATCAAATGAATGGGTAAGAGGTTGTTCAGAATACTGACTCTAGTCTTCTCTGTACA